GCCCTTTCATCAGTCAGAAGACATTTTACATGAGTTTTATAGAAAATATAGGGCTGCTGCATGTCCGTGGCACTGGCACCGGTGTTCGAAGGCGCCTGGAGCAGAGGGACACCGTGTTTGTGCTCGGGTCGGGTTCAAACACTGCCCCATGTGCTCTGGGCGGGTTCAAACACAATGGTACCGCTCGCGGTTCTGCTCGCTGTGGTCAGGAATGTGGACGTGGATGTGTAGATGTCGATGAGAGAGCGCTGCCACGCGTTACCGCCATCTTGAGCGGGAAGTTCGTCAACCCGTTTATAATCTATTTCTAATTTGTACTTATTCAGTCTAAATGGCGTCGCGTTTCAGTAAATATGTCGTCAGAATGATATTATAGTGTTTCTCCATTACAGGAAAAAACGATTCGGTTCAAATCAAACTTTTTTTCCCATGGGAAGAGCTATAAAATGTATAAATTGAGGCCTAAACAGAACAGTGTCAGTTCATAGTTACATTATGTAAATTAGTGATATAGTATAGTGTAATATCGGGCTTTGTATCACCCGTAATAAAGAAAAGGTGTATATAGTCTAACGTTCTTTTTTCCCCGCAGATCTTTTGATGTGGCAGTGTAAATTGCTGGAAAGAACTTTTACTTAAGCATTACAGGTTAGTTCATGTCTCCAGACAACGATATCCATGTGCTTATGCAGATTGCCCTTGTACTTTCAAAACCTTGAATACTTTCTACAGCCACACAAGCAGTGCATCCACAAAAAATCTGCACAATAATGTGGCAACATTTAGTCCATTTGTGTCCATTCAATGGCCTAGCTTCAGATACAATATTTTTCACATGTCAACACTCGTCTGAAGAGTAATAAGACAGTGCATTGCATGTTTAAAGGTTGTTCTTACAAAACAAATGTGATAAAAGCTTTTTTTATATTATAGATGCAGAATTCAGACGAATCACAACATCCTTGACGTCAAAGTTTATGTTCCAGTTGGATGAGTACGCCACTACACTAATCTACAAGAAGAAAGGAGGAAAACTTGGAGAAATCATGGAAGGATTTGCAGAGGTTTGTAATTTTGAAGGACAGCTAAACACCAAATCAACTTTCTTTTATCTTATAAACTGCGTAAATATTTTTGTTATAGTGCTCTCAACATATCCTGGTCAATTGTTTGACATTTTAGTGCAAATTAGATAAAATCTCACAGTTAAGCCTAAAACCGTCAGTGTGGCGCCTGCTCTACACTAAATCTGGCCCCTAAATTGACTCTGGAGTGCAGTGTGACAGGCGCAAAACGACGGACGTCGCGCTACTTTCTTGCATGCTTTCCGGTGGAAGTGTCACACATTCCCCGTAGCGAGTTGGGAGTATTCTGGCGACATCTATTAGTTTATAATGAGAATTATTATCAATTATTTTTATTCTGTGGCTTAGGTTCAGCTGTGTAGCTCGACAATTATCTTACGTAAACAAGGGTGGAAGGAGAATATTTGGTGTGTAAACTATTGCTTTGAGCAGCAATGACGACTGTGTTTTTATTATTTTGTTTGGGCTGCGATTGACAGCTCGCTTGTCAAAGCCCCCCTTGGTCCTCCAGGCAACGCCCTTTTTAAGAGAATTTTCACATGCTCCACCCAGAGGCTACTCCACCTCTGCTGCTGTGACCTGTCCTGCTCCACCCAGAGGCTACTCCACCTCTGCTGCTGTGACCCGTCCTGCTCCACCCAGAGGCTACTCCACCTCTGCTGCTGTGACCCGTCCTGCTCCACCCAGAGGCTACTCCACCTCTGCTGCTGTGACCAGTCCTGCTCCACCCAGAGGCTACTCCACCTCTGCTGCTGTGACCTGTCCTGCTCCACCCAGAGACTACTCCACCTCTGCTGCTGTGACCCGTCCTGCTCCACCCAGAGACTACTCCACCTCTGCTGCTGTGACCTGAACGACTGTTGGATTTTATTATTTTTAACTTTTTAGAATGATCAATTTCATTTCTGCTGCTACTGAACACCTGCATTTCTCCGACAGGATCAATAAAGTATCAATCATAGATTAGTGTAAAAATTTTATGGAGACCTTTCATGATTAAACACAGGATTTCATATTTCCGTCGCTGTGGGAGGAAGACTGTGGTCTCCTCCTCCTCGGTCCAACACAAAGGACATTGGGAGATACTTCTGGACAATCAAGGTGACCACGGGCTTAGACCGAGCTAATCTCATTACAGCGATCGATGCCACTGATGGAACTTGTTACGATAAAAGCAGCGAGAAGACCAATGACAATTCTTCAGTTTGTGCAGGTTTTCACAGTCGTAACAACCGAGAATCAGAAAATCCATTTGGTCCAATCAGAAAGTTATTGGTCAGAGCTGATGGTGACGTTTGGAGGCACTAGAAAGCTTCACTTCAACACACGAGAAAAACAGTCATAATCAAAGTGTGTTTGCAACGACACTGAGCTGGTGTGTGGTTGATATTTTAGAACAGGAAGTAAAGGCTGTTTTGTTTTACCTTTTGACGACAGAAACTAATACATTAGATGTATATTTTTCTATTTCTAGACAAAACTACAGAGAGTTTTAATTAATTAATTAATTCCTGTACTTTTAACCGTGTGTATGTGTGTACTTGTCTGCTGCACACTCTGGGGACTCTCGCACATGTATTCCGATGTGGTTTTACTGCAAATGGCAAATAATCTGAATCTGGTGTGTTCTGCTGCGCTTTATCAAAGTGTGCATCTGCCCTGGCCCCGTGTCCGGGCCCCACACACCAGGACGTGGGGAAAGGTCAGGCCCCGGCTCGGTCCCTCCCACAGGGGCCTCAGAAGGACCGGCCCCTGTCCTTCAGTCTGACATTTACAGCACTCGCCTTTTCTGACACCGCCTCAAACACAATTATTCACATCTGAGCGTCAGGCCGTCCTTAGACACGGATCTCACGGATCTCTGAATCCCTGGAGTAAAAAGGTAGAATACGGTTTTTCAGCTTTATGGAACTTTTAACCTTGTGTTAAAAGTCCAGTGTTTTTAGATTCATTAAAGATAAGACCCGGAACTTCAGGCACAAACATGAGAATCTCTCTATAAAAGTATGATGTCATTGGAACGCTATGACATCATAGTTTGACGAGTTTCTTTATAATCACATGTGCCTCTCTCTCTCTGGTCTCTCTCTCTCTCTGGTCTCTCTCTCTCTGGTCTCTCTCTCTCTCTCTGGTCTCTCTCTCTCTCTCTGGTCTCTCTCTCTGGTCTCGCTCTCTGGTCCTGGTCTCTCTCTCTCTCTGGTCTCTCGCTCTCTGGTCCTGGTCTCGCTCTCTGGTCCTGGTCTCGCTCTCTGGTCCTGGTCTCGCTCTCTGGTCCTGGTCTCTCTCTCTGGTCTCCCTCTCTGGTCTCCCTCTCTGGTCTCCCTCTCTGGTCTCCCTCTCTGGTCTCCCTCTCTGGTCTCCCTCTCTGGTCTCCCTCCTCTGGTCTCCCTCTCTGGTCTCCCTCTCTGGTCTCCCTCTCTGGTCTCCCTCTCTGGTCTCCCTCTCTGGTCTCCCTCTCTGGTCTCCCTCTCTGGTCTCCCTCTCTGGTCTCCCTCTCTGGTCTCCCTCTCTGGTCTCCCTCTCTGGTCTCCCTCTCTGGTCTCCCTCTCTGGTCTCCCTCTCTGGTCTCCCTCTCTGGTCTCCCTCTCTGGTCTCCCTCTCTGGTCTCCCTCTCTGGTCTCCCTCTCTGGTCTCCCTCTCTGGTCTCCCTCTCTGGTCTCCCTCTCTGGTCTCCCTCTCTGGTCTCCCTCTCTGGTCTCCCTCTCTGGTCTCCCTCTCTGGTCTCCCTCTCTGGTCTCCCTCTCTGGTCTCCCTCTCTGGTCTCCCTCTCTGGTCTCCCTCTCTGGTCTCCCTCTCTGGTCTCCCTCTCTGGTCTCCCTCTCTGGTCTCCCTCTCTGGTCTCCCTCTCTGGTCTCCCTCTCTGGTCTCCCTCTCTGGTCTCCCTCTCTGGTCTCCCTCTCTGGTCTCCCTCTCTGGTCTCCCTCTCTGGTCTCCCTCTCTGGTCTCCCTCTCTGGTCTCCCTCTCTGGTCTCCCTCTCTGGTCTCCCTCTCTGGTCTCTCTCTCATTAACATGGACACAGATATTAGAGAAACATGTCTGAGGCTCCATACAGTCCCGGCGCCAGCTCAGTATAGAAGGGGGGGCGGCTGAAAAACGTGGAGGGGCAATGACGTCACGTGTATGCATGCATATGAGAAAACGTATGCAACTTGTATGTAACTTTTTAAAAATATAAGCCACATAGATAAAACGTGATAACAAGTTACAATAATGTGTTGTAATTAACACAACAAATAAAACACTTACAATAACACACGGCCATAAGGAATAATTCTTGCTTTAACGCAACGTTCATTCTAACCCGACAGATGAAGACTCAGAAGTGATACACATGTAGCACAGAGCAACATCAAAACACTCCAAAGATCACACTCGCTGATCTAACGCGTAATCAATTGGTAACAAAGCAGTAACAAGCATTGGTAACAAAAACAGTAGCATCAACAATATACGGATGATAAAATAACCAGCTCTTATCTTTAGTAGAGTTGCAGTCTCCTCTTTTCTGATGAGTGGAATCTCCGTAACAGCATCTCCTTCCATTCATCTTTGAATTTCCGACTGAGATCATTCTCAAAAGCCAGCTGGATGAGGTGGGCTTTCCGTTTATGCAACATGCTGCGTCTGTGCTCGGTAAATACGTTCTTCAACGTGGAGAATGAGTTTTCGCACATAGCAGTTGATGCCCCGAAGGTCAGTGCGTGTTTGAACGCGGCCATTACCGCTGGCATGGCACTCAATACCATGTATTCTTTTGCAACAAGCTGACTCAAAGTCACTTTCTCCTCGTCCTGGCCTGTGCACCTGTTTTTCAAATAGTCCCGTGCAACTGTGAACTGTCCCTCAATAATTTCTGTGTTGGTCAAATCCAGTAGTGGTTTCACTTTGTTGGCCTCCAAGAAATTCACACTTACGGGATCCAAAGCGTTCAAAGCAGTCATGTATGTCCCATTGCGCTTGCTGAAACGCGCAGCCATTTCACACAAAATCGAGTCGATTATGGCAAAAAACAGGCGCTTACACTCCTGTTGGATGTCTGCTTCGCGCTGCCCAAGGCCTTCACTCACCACATAGTCCTGAAGGGCCCCGGTGGTCTGCCGCAGTCGTTTTGGAGGGACAGGCGTGCCCTCACATGCATCCCCACTGTCATCCCACAATTTAATAAATTCCGCATCAGATCTTAAAGCTTCGATGCAAGAAGATGCACTTTGAATGAGGCGGACTGCAGTAATTAGATCCGTTTCTTCAGCTTGCAAGATCCGATTGGCTGGGTCCATCAGCCCCAATAATTTGTGCATCACACAGGTCAGAAATTTGAAGGTCCGTTCTGTGATGGCCTTGTGAAGTCCAACAGCTTCAATTTTTACATCGGCACCTGCTCCCGTGCATCTCATTTCTTTTAAGAAGTCCACCAGTGTGGCGTGTGACTTCAGCACCACAGACACCGTGTCAAGATGTCCAGTCCATCGCTGTTCTAACAGCCTTTTAAGCTTTTCTCCTCTGTACTGCGCTGCTACAGTGGGCTTTTTCAGAAATTTATAAAGGGAATTACACACGTCAAAAAAATCCCTGACTGCGCTCTCCGAGGAAATAGCATGAACAACCACCAAATGCAGCTGGTGGTTGAAACAATGAATATAAGGCACTTCTCTGTTTAACTTATTTTGAATAAGCTTCTGTATGCCTCCCTCTCTTCCAGACATGACGCTGGCTCCGTCATAACACTGACTAAGAATTTTATTTACGTCAAGGCCGGCGTTTGACAGTTCATTGAGCACTACATTAGTGAGTGACAGGGCATCACACTTGTCTGTTGTCTGCATTGATAACAGCCTCTCCTGCACTTTGAAGTCCTTGTCCACATAACGCACAACTATAGAAACATTTTCACGGCCTGTCGGGTCTTTAGTTCCATCCACCTTGAGTGTAAACCACGACTCTCCAACATCTTTAACAATTTGCTCTGTTACAATCGTGCTCATCAGTTCAATTATGTGATTTTGTATATCATGTGATGTATAAGTTGCGTTTTTTGGAATTGTACTGAAAGCCCTCGCTAGCTCTTGATTTTGCCTCAGTGTGTATTCAAACAGTGAAAGAAACAGTCCGCTGCCCGCATCATCTCTGCTATTGACTGAATCCACGTAGTAGTAAGTAGTAGTAGTAAGCTTTATTTATATACCGCCTTTCACAGACCAGAGTCTCAAAGCGGTTTACAATTGTTATTTTTGGGCATTTGTCTCTCACTCCACACAGAGATGGGAGCGGGGCCAGTACAGGAGGCACATGCCAGACCTATTGTACATATTTTTAGTGGTAGGGGAAACCGGAGTACCCGGAGGAAACCTACGCAGACACGGGGAGAACATGCAAACTCCATTCAGAAAGGCCCTGGTCCGGCCGGGATTCGAACCCAGGACCTTCTTGCTGAAAGGCGAGAGTGCTATCCACTCAGCCACCGTGCCGCCCACGTCACCCCGCAGTGGCAGTTTGTTTGAGACAAGAAATTCAATTATGTCCACAATTGCAGACACATAAAGGCGGTTTCGCACAAGCTGATTAGAGTTAACCAAAGTTGAGATTTCGCTACCTATGTTGCATCGCATTTGCTTCTCTTTCCAGCTCGCCATACACGCTAGGTGCTCTTTGCTGTTACTATGCCTGCTAAATCCCTTTGCCTTATCATTAGCGTGCTTCCAATTATTATATCCAGTTCTTGTGAAAACGGAGTCACTACCTCCAAATTTCCTGCAGGGAAAACAAAAAGCAGCGTCCGCTTGCTGGGAATATTCAAGCCAGTCTTTCCCATTGTACCAGTTAGCCGAAAAAGACCGTTTACAGTCATTATTATGCTGTTGCTTCTTTGGAAACTGATGGAGACAAACTTGAACTGGCTTTTCAACTCCGAGGTCTTCTGGAAAACAAAGCTGTTGCTGCGAGTGCGATGGTGGCCTCGCCGCCCCGAACACCGCTGAACCCGGGTCAGAGGCTGTTGGCACCGGGGGAATGGCGGGAGAATCACTCTCCTCCATTTGCCTCGGCACCTGCTGCCATGGCCTCGGCAGGTGCTCTTCGGCTTCTCCGGTTCTCCTGTAGCTGCTGCCAGGCTGCGGGGACACTGCCGGTGTAGTGTTTGGCTTTTTCAGCCATGTACGAATGTCCATTTTTATCAGAAATGAAGAGCTGGACTTCCGGTGACGATGAAACTGGGCATGGACGCGTGAAAACTGTGCTAGGGCACTGGCCTTTCTAATTCCCTAGACCCGAGATCCATATTCGGTCAAAAAACGTTTAATACGTTGCTTTAATGAGTGGGGACAGGACTAACAAGAGCAGATACGGGCTACGAAACTACCCGGACCCAGAAATGAAAGAGGACACACCGGCTAACGAAGTGGAGCTAACAGCGGAACAACATGGCGACCGTAGCATTAGCATGGACATGATTCGAGAAGCAATGAAAGATGCCATGACCTCGTTTCACACAGAAATCAAGAAAGACCTGGAAAACTTCCGTTCTGAAATATGTGAGGAAATGAAGAAACAAACGGGGGAACTAGCGACTGAAATGAGTCAAAAACTTCATGATACCAACATACGAGTGAGTGCGGTGGAGGAGCGGATACAACAGGTGGAGGACAGCATGGCCGAGTCCGAGAGATGGGATATCGGAGTGAAGAACACGCTCGTACAACTACTACAGAGCCAGCGGGCTCTCCAGGATAAAGTCTCGGACCTGGAGGGCCGTGCGAGGCGAAACAATATCAGACTGTACGGCGTGCCTGAAGGCTCCGAGGGCACATCCATGGTGGCATTTATCGATAACCTTATCAAGAGCGAGCTTGGAGGAGACGCTCCCATGGACAGAAACCTTGGCATCGAGCGTGCCCACCGTGCATTAGGACCCAAACCACCTGCCAGTGCCCCACCGCGCTCTATAATAGTCCGCTTCCTCAGTTTTTCAATCAAAGAGACCATACTCCACGCAGCTTGGAAGAAGACGGTACGAATCCAGGGTAAGCAAGTGTACTTTGACCACGATTACGCACTGGAGGTGCAGAAAAGAAGGAAGGAGTACATCCCTATTAAACGCGCACTGAAAGAGAAAGGGATTCGTTTCCAAACTCCACTCACCAAGATGCGCGTCTTCTACACGTCGGGAAGCGTCCTCTACGACAGCGCTATCCAAGCCGCTGAGGATCTGCGGAAGCGGGGCATGGACGTGGACCGGGTGCCTGTCACCGCGAGGAGCAACCTGACTACGGAGGAGACGCTGGCACAGCTGCTGCCGTGGGAAACGCAGACAACGCGCCGCGCAGGCTTCCAGGAAAGTATCCGTGAAAAGCTTAAGGTGTTCCGGAGAGAGGGAAATGAGACTGAGTAAGATTCACTCCTTCACCTGGTAATAGTTGTTTTCTTGATCCAAAACTATTTCGTAGCTTGGTCGAAATCCGTTATACACAAACCGGGCCAGTGCCCGCAGCCACAAACTAGCGTCACCGCACCACGTTTTACCCTCTATTTTCCTATAGCGGGTTTTTTCTGTTTTTCTGTTTTTCTGTTTTTTATTTATTTTTATTTTTTCTCTTTCTATTCTGCCAGTTTTGGCGAGGGGCCCCACTCAGCGGCTCGACCCCTCACAACTTAAGGACAATAGTATATCCTTTTCAATGGAAGTACATTGTTATGTTGTTTTTTCATGTTTGACAAGTTCCTGTCTTATTGTTACTATGTTGAGGTTGGGCATGGCATGCTATGTTCTCATGTTTGTTAATGGCTTTTAAATATTATAATGTACTGTCACTAAATGTAAACGGATTAAATAACTGTATAAAAAGAAGTAAACTGATAGTTAAAATGAAAAGGGAGAAGGCAGATATTATATATTGGCAAGAGACTCACTTATCTAATTCAGAACATGACAAACTGAAGAAAATGGGGTTCAAAAATACATTCTATTCATCACACAGAAGTGGCAAAAAACGAGGAGTGGCAATCCTAATACCTAACAGAATTAAATTTGAGCTAGTATCTGAAAAACATGATAAGGAAGGAAGATACATTTTGGTAAAGGGTAAAATAGACCAAAAACCTGTCACACTGCTTAATGTATATGCACCTCCTGGAAGTGACACAATATTTTTCAAGAATATATTTAACTTAATTACGACTGAATGCCATGGATCCTTAATCTGTGCTGGGGACTTCAACCTTTTATTAAATACCCGATTAGACACAACAAATAGTGGCAGGAAACATACAGCCACAGAGAAAGCAGTTAAGAGAATGCTTTCAGACTTGGGGCTCATCGATGTGTGGCGCTTTATGCACGGATCAGCCCCTGGGTTTACCTTTTACTCTGCACGCCACTCCGCCCACTCAAGAATAGACTACTGTTTTACAAATAACAACAATTTACATAGAATAAAGGAATGCAAAATTGGCCAAAGAGACGTGTCTGACCACTCAGGGCTATATCTAAAATTACATCTGGATGGGATACAGAGGGAAACACTGTGGCGACTTAATACCGGTATGCTGAATGACTCAGCATTTATAAAGACTATGACATCAGATCTGTCCTTATACTTAAAAGAAAATGACAATGGAGAAACAAGTCCTAGTATTTTATGGGATGCAGCTAAAGCTGTCCTTAGAGGAAAAATTATTTCAATATCAGCTAGGCTTAAAAAACAGAAAACACAAAAACTCTCACATTTGCAAGTACTACTGAAAATGCTTGAAGAAACTCAATTGACAGACAAAAGTACAACTGTAAGACAACAAATTCAATCGACTAAACAAGAAATTGATAAGATATTAGGAGAAGAAGTGGAGAAAAACATACGGTTTATGAAACAGAGATATTACGAAACGGGCCCAAAAGCATCAAAATTACTGGCATGGCGACTCAAAAAGCAACAGGCTGAAAATACAATATACAAAATAAGAGATCCAGACAGCCGTAAAGTTGTGACAAGTCTGGATGACATCCAAAGCGCTTTTGAGAAATATTACACATCCTTATATAGTCAGTCTGGTTCAATTGATGAAAATGCCACAACTAGTTTTTTAAACTCCTTGGATCTCCCCTCTCTTGGTCGGGATGCAAATGAAAAATTGACCTCATCCATAACACGAATGGAAATAGATAAAGCCATATCCAGTCTTAATTCTAGCAAGTCACCAGGCACTGATGGGTTCCCACCTGAATGGTATAAGAAAATGAGGGAAGATCTAGTACCCGTTTTGGAAATCAGTTTCAATTATATATTAAAGGGTGGCCCTATCCCTCCATCATGGAAAGAGGCCTTCATATCTGTGATACCTAAAGATGGGAAAGACAGAACAGACTGTAAATCATACCGTCCAATTAGTGTCCTAAACACAGACTATAAACTGTACATGACTATTTTAGTTAAAAGAATGGACACAGTGATGCCTTCGCTCATTGACGAGGATCAAACTGGATTCTTAAAAAATAGGCAGACCCACGACAACATAAGAAGAACTTTGCACGTTATCGAACAAATTAACAAAAAAAAACTAAAAGCAGTTATTCTAAGCCTAGATGCCGAAAAAGCTTTTGACTCCGTTCAATGGGACTTTCTTTACTCTGTAATGAAAAGATTTGGATTCTGTAGTGATTTCGTAAAATGCATCCAAGCTCTCTACTGCTCTCCCACAGCCAGAATCAAAGTAAATGGGAGTCTTTCAAACCCCATCCAGCTCCAGCGGGGCTGTCGCCAGGGCTGCCCCGGAAGTCCAAATTTATTTAATCTTTTTATTGAGCCCTTAGCCCAAGCTATAAGGCAGGAGACTAGATTAAAGGGTATTCAAATAGGGGGAGAGGAGTATAGGGTGTGCCTGTACGCTGATGATGTCTTAATAACAATGACAGAACCCGACCTTGGTTTACCAGTGCTGACAGGAATATTAGAGCAATATGGTTCCTTTTCTGGTTACACCCTCAACACTCATAAAACTCAGATTATGACATTCAATTATCACCCTAGACAGGAATTTATGACTAAGTTTAATGTAAATTGGTTCTCTGAGCAGATTAGATACTTAGGGGTTAATTTACCTAAAGATCTCTCAAAACTATCTGATAAAAACTATAACCCTCTTAACCAGGAAATATACAGGGACTTGGACAGGTGGAGCCTCCTCCCCCTTGACTTTGGAAACAGAATACAAACAATTAAGATGAACATTCTTCCAAAATTACTGTACGTTTTCTCATCCCTACCTGTGTCTATTCCTGACAAACAGTTCAGGGAATGGAATAAACATATCTCCAGATTTATTTGGCAGAAAAACAGACCAAGAATTAGATTCTCCACGTTACAATTGCCGAGGGAGAAGGGGGGGCGGGCTCTTCCCTCTCTACGGGAATACTACATATCAGCACAGCTAAGACCCCTGGTCTGCTGGTGTAACCCATCCTACTGTGCAAAATGGAAAACTATTGAGATGTCTTACAGTGATGCGCCAATTCAGGCTATATTAGGTCACATTTCCCATGAGAGTTTAACCGAAAGCCAGTGGGTAAATTTTTCACTGAAAATATGGAAATCTGAAGTAAAGAAACTACAGATTCAAGAGGAGATCAAACTTCTCAGATGGCCAGCCTACGACCCTGACTTTCCACCTGCCTCTCATGATGCTACATTTCGGCACTGGGCATTACATGACATCACGGCTGTATGTACGGTTTATGAAAAATCTAATTTAATGACATTTGATGCTTTATGTAAGAAGTTAAACCTGGAAAAACATGATTTTTTCCGATACTTACAGCTTCGTAACTATATTACTAAAAACATGCAACATATTAAGTCTGATCTTTCTGCACTTATTCTCATTTTCATTAATGCATATAATTCCTCTAGTCTTAAACGTGTAATAAGTAAACTATACAGCAGTTTGACTGCACTCAAGACAAACTCAACTTACATAAAGCAGAAATGGGAAAAGGAGATGAACATTGTTATTTCAGAGGACATGTGGACAAGGATTTGGGAAGTACAGTTCTCAACGACCAATTCAAACACCTGGAGGGACTTCTGTTGGAAGAACATTGTCCGTTTCTTCATAACACCGATACAAAAATCCAAGTTCAGCCCTACTCGAGCACACTGCTGGAGAGAATGCGGGGAAGCATCAGCAGACCACGGACACATTTTTTGGTCCTGCCCGCTCATTCAGCCATTCTGGATAGACTTAGAAAACATAATTGCAAAAACATTGGGATATGGCATCAATAACTCCTTTTTGGTGCTGTATTTGGGATGTTTACCCAACAACATGGCTGCAGATGATTTGTACCTTTTCAAGATTCTGCTGGCATCAGCCAAGAAGTCCATAACTAAAAACTGGTTGCAGAAACATCCACCTACTGTAAATCTGTTCATTTCAATTGTGGAAAATATTAAACTCATGGAGCGGATGACCTACACTTTGCGACTTCAGGAAGAACTGGGAAAAAGGCGCTGGGCAAAGTGGCTGGACTTTATAAATGGTGACAGTACAGAGACGGTACAACAAATGTGAATTGTAGACTCAATGTTTATATTTTTTTATTATATTGCTAGCCATCCCCCAACCCCTAATGTTTGTGTTTAAAAATTGCAAAAATAAAAAAGTTTCAAAAAAAAGAAATGAAGAGCTAACCCTTAGCTGCTGGCTGGTTACAGGCAACTCCGTACGGCGGGAATATGCACTGATAAGGTCATCACTGCATATTCCCACCAATTGAGTGATGGGTAACATGGGTTCAACTATAATCTGAATTTTAATTTTCAAAACTGTTCATTAGAGTCAGTGGAGTTTCTTCTGAGTTTCTGGATTGTTTTGAATACACAAACTGTGAATAATATATATACACTTCTTTATTTAAAAAAATATATATATACATTTTGACTGAGGGGGCGGGACTGTCCCCTCTTGACGCCGGGACTGGCTCCATACCTTTCGCTGCGACTGATCCAGACTAATCTATTGTAGTGGGATTCTGGAATATTAGCAACGACAGCAGAGATGGCTTCTCCGTTAGCGCTGCAGCTGGGAGGCTACATTAGCATACGCTCACATCCTCCGCGGTGAGTCTTTCTTACCGTCTTTCACTCGTCCGTCCAATCCTGACCCCGTTTTATCCCAATCTTTTCTTACCGTGCTCTCCAGTGTCGCCGCTGAATATTAATGCTGGATTTTACATCTTTCCCTTCAGTCATCGGCTTATCTCAAGTGGCCGTTCACACAGGACTTTTAAATGAAGTCTCAGCCGTGTCCAACGGTCGCATGGAACGGGTCGAGAGCAAAGAAGACCTTTTTGAAATTCAATCAGTTTTAAAGTTCTTCTATGGAGTTAAATGACAGCCTCATTATGACACATGTAGGACTGGGAGTATATCAGGGTTTGCTGATACAGAAACTCAATATGACTTTTGATACGATTTATGACAGTAATAATGGTTTTATGAAGAGGTGGCGTTTCTCTGTTACTCCATGGGCTGGAAAACTACTGTAGCCACACCTGCCCCATCGGCTGGAAAACTACTGTAGCCACACCTGCCCCATCGGCTGGAAAACTACTGTAGCCACACCTGCCCCATCGGCTGGAAAACTACTGTAGCCACACCTGCCCCATCGGCTGGAAAACTACTGTAGCCACACCTGCCCCATCGGCCTCCGACCTAAAGATTCCCGCACACAGTCTTGCAAATTAGAAACTATTTATGAGACGTTTCGGCGTTTGCTTGATGAAGACATCGCACCTCTCATACATTGTTTTTAATTTGCAGGTAAGACGGTGTGTCTCCCATCAGGCTACACAGGCCTCTCCTCCTACGTACCCAACCTGTAGGTGATGAGTGCGAATCCCTAAAAACATCAGGTCAACCTCACAGTTCTGTTTTCAATGTGTGGATTATCGTAGATTCTAATTAAATATGGTGCCAACAATGTTCATGGATTAATCTGTTTTTTTCAATTGATATGTATTAATCAGTTATTTTGATCCGGTAAATAAGTAAGTTTTATATAGCCTGGTCTTACCGCACCATAGTACTCATTTCATTCATACTAAGGTCTGGATCTGCTCCATTGTCTCCGTGAACAGGTGGGAGGGGCTAACTGCTTTTGCAGATTGAAACCATTGGATCTGAGTTTACTGTGACGTATGTAATGAGCCTAAGTGAGTGGTTAGCATATAGCATTTAGCCTAGCTTTAGCATGTAGCCTAGCTTTAGCCATCTCCTTTGCCGCTAACGGAGCCCGTGGGGAGTAGAGCCACAACATCTTTGCTTCAATGACATTTACTAAACATTCCTCTTGCTCCGGCTTCAGTTTCTTGATATTTGGATTGAACCAGAACAGATTATTTTACTATCGCATTCTCCGACAAACTACAACCAGCAAATTCAGCACAAACTCTTGACGTCACCGACACCGACCTACAACACCCGCCTCCCCCGCTCTCTGATTGGTCGGAGGGGATTCAACAATTCTAAGTCAAATTAAGTATGAACAACAGAAACATGAACATGAAGAGACACTTTGATCTTACCTCTCTCCGCCGGGACGCCCAGCACGTCTGCTTGATCTTCCACACCACCGCCGCCACCAGGAGAAGGGACAAGAAGCAGCTACGAGGAAGCACAAAGAACCATGTGTCATTCATGGTCCGTCACATTCACACGTCACACAGATTTAAAAGTTTTAGGATCGGCACGAGCCACAGACTGAAAATTTTGCTCTATTACTTCAATTAATAACCCGCCGGTGGAAGCATCAGTCACAGGATCTTATCTCAGGGACAGAGAAATGAAGAGGGATTGAGAGCTTCCATTATCCCGGCACGGCTCGGAATGTTAAGATATTACAGACTTATGGGACGCTTTACATCACGTTCCATAAACGCCACAGAAGAAGATTGAAAAGAGTTTCTGGAGGAAAACTGGGTCTTATCAATTTATCTACATTTATGTATGAGGCAAGGAACGATCAGTACTATCAGTACCACCAGTACCATCAGTACCATCAGTACCACCAGTACCACCAGTACCATCAGTACCACCAGTACCATCAGTACTATCAGTACCACCAGTACCATCAGTACCATCAGTACCATCAGTACCATCAGTACCATCAGTACTATCAGTACCACCAGTACCACCAGTACCATCAGTACCACCAGTACCACCAGTACCATCAGTACCATCAGTACCATCAGTACCACCAGTACCATCAGTACCATCAGTACCACCAGTACCACCAGTACCATCAGTACCATCAGTACCATCAGTACCACCAGTACCATCAGTACCATCAGTACCATCAGTACTATCAGTAACATCAGTACCATCAGTACCACCAGTACAATCAGTACTATCAGTACCACCAGTACCACCAGTACCATCAGTACTATCAGTACCACCAGTACCACCAGTACCATCAGTACCACCAGTACCATCAGTACCACCAGTACCATCAGTACCACCAGTACCATCAGTACCATCAGTACCATCAGTACTATCAGTACCATCAGTACCATCAGTACCATCAGTACCATCAGTACCATCAGTACCACCAGTACCATCAGTACCACCAGTACCACCAGTACCATCAGTACCATCAGTACCATCAGTACCATCAGTACCACCAGTACCATCAGTACCATCAGTACCATCAGTACTATCAGTACCATCAGTACCATCAGTACCATCAGTACCATCAGTACCACCAGTACCATCAGTACCATCAGTACCATCAGTACTATCAGTACCACCAGTACCATCAGTACCATCAGTACCATCAGTACCATCAGTACCACCAGTACCATCAGTACCACCAGTACCATCAGTACCACCAGTACCATCAGTACCATCAGTACCATCAGTACCATCAGTACCATCAGTACCATCAGTACCATCAGTACTATCAGTACCATCAGTACCACCAGTACCACCAGTACTATCAGTACCATCAGTACCATCAGTACCATCAGTACCATCAGTACCATCAGTACCATCAGTACTATCAGTACCACCAGTACCATCAGTACCATCAGTACCACCAGTACCATCAGTACCACCAGTACCACCAGTACCATCAGTACCACCAGTACCACCAGTACCACCAGTACCACCAGTACCATCAGTACTATCAGTACCATCAGTACCATCAGTACCATCAGTACTATCAGTACCATCAGTACCACCAGTACCACCAGTACTATCAGTACCATCAGTACCATCAGTACCATCAGTACCATCAGTACCACCAGTACCACCAGTACCACCAGTACCATCAGTACCATCAGTACCACCAGTACCACCAGTACCACCAGTACCACCAGTACCATCAGTACTATCAGTACTATCAGTAGCAGAATGGTTACTTTTGAGGGGGGGGGATATGTTAAAGGCGGTGATCGCTTTTATCACTTTTCAGTCTGAAAAAATTGTGACAGACGCTAAAAATGTGCGAGAACGAGAAACCTCATGGAGCGTCTTCATGGTCTCTCCCTGGTCCCACTTACTCCTGGTCTCAATCACCCCTGGTCCCACTTGCCCCTGGTCCCACTTTCCCCTGGTCCCACTTGCCCCTGGTCCCACTTGCCCCTGGTCCCACTTGCCCCTGGTCCCACTTGCCCCTGGTCCCACTTGCCCCTGGTCCCACTTGCCCCTGGTCCCACTTGCCCCTGGTCCCACTTGCCCCTGGTCCCACTTACCCCTGGTCCCACTTGCCCCTGGTGCCACTTACCCCTGGTCCCACTTACCCCTGGTCCCACTTGCCCCTGGTCCCACTTACCCCTGGTCCCACTTACCCCTGGTCCCACTTGCCCCTGGTCCTAAGTACCCATGGTCCTGTTATCCAACACTGATGAGCTCCATTCAGGGCTTTTCAGTTTCCTTCTCGACCTTTACGGCAAATGTCACACAGCAGCTATTACATATCTGCCGGTGAACCAACGCATCAACCACAACCACAGCAGCAGAAGAAGAAGAAGCAGCAGAAGAAGAAGAGGAGGAGGCAGCAGCGTCTTCATCACAGAAAGACAAAGCCAGAGCATGTCAGAGCCACCTGCCATGTCCTTTTTAAGCCCACGTTCCCATCTCAAGCTCCGGTGCCGCTGCAATTACACAGATTCATTTGATATTCAAATCTAAAAGGCAGTTATCCTCCATCCTCGCTCTTCTTTCTCCTTCTTTCATGAAAGGAGAGTCTTCTGAGGTGAAACACTTTTTTATTTCCTTAAACTACTTGAAGCCAAAGGCACAGAGCGTTTAGCTTCAGAGGGAGCACAAGTAGGGGACCTTTTTTATTCTCTCACAGGCATCATCCAGGACACCTTTGGAGATAAACATAACACGGAGAAGGGAGGTTTTTTCTCTTCTTCTCTTCCCCCCGTGTGACAGAAGTGACAAAAATCCCTAGATAGATGTTTGCCGTCGGAGAGGAGCTTAAATCGCCTTCGCCCGTTCCTGCCGTGGTTTCCAAATCTGCCATCACTCACCGTCAGGAAAGTGAAAGTGTGTTTTCTCTGCCGTCAAACTGCGCCTAAAGTCTGTTTGTTTGGCCACATTTTATTATTCCCATGTGTCCTGCACGAGGAGGTGTTTGGCTGTGGATAATGTGTGAAACCTTGACCAATGCCAAAGGTTTATACAGATAAATATCCCCAGAACAACTCCCATTCATGCTCATACAGATCATAGAACAGGAGTAATCAATATAATATCTATAATTGTAGTTGTACCCTGACTTTACAGACATGTTTTAGCATATTTCTAATCCACGGCCTGAATAATGGATAAACACAGTTCTCCAGTTAAGTGCCAGGGTATTAAAGGGCCCATATGACGGTTTTTGACTTTTCTCTGCTTTAAACATGATTACAGCTATTTGGCCTCATACAGAAGCCCACAGTAGTTTATTCATTGATTCTGTCAATCTTTTGTAAGAGAACAATCTGTGTCCTTCCCCAGCGTGAGGCACAGAAACGCTCGGGTCCACTTCAGTGACGAAAACCACACTGATGACGCGCATGACCCCGTTTGCTTTGTATTTAAAATAGTTGTTAAATACTTTTGTCAAAACGGGGTAAACAATACACAATTAGTATGCTGTTTTTTGTCAAAAATAATAAAAATAAAAATAAATTAAAAGCCGGCGGGAGGTGATTGACGGATCAAAACAGCGAATCAGAGCGCACAGGCTCCGGCTCCCGAGTCCAGCGTCTGTGGTCTGGTCTCGCGGACACCACATAGAGCTGCTGTTTTTATGCTTTTGTCAGAAACTAAAAGTGTTAGGATCACGTCAACTTGAATGAAGTGTGTTATGGGTGTAAATATGTGACACACTATTTGGCCCTAAGAGGAAGAAAGCGGCTCGACTTTTTTCATCTGTTCATCTCATGGATCTATTATAAACCGGTTCATCTGCGACACTTCACTGAGACTGTTCCAGAACTACAGGGACAATGGAACTGGACTTACTCTAAAGCTGATGTGGAAACACGTTATTCCCACGGTAAAAGACGTAACTCGGACCCCCTCGATCTGTAAGTAGTGACGCTAACTCGCTGTATACTTCTGTAAACTAAATAACTAGGGTCTGATTGTGCATCGAGGACATAGGGCTCAATGTGACGGATTGTCATTGTTGGAAAAAGTTTATTCTTATGTATGAAATGACTAAGTACAGGTGATAAACGACAAAAGCGTGATGCTACGTCACCGTACGGGCGGGGGGAGGCGGGTGAGGGCGGGGGGGAGGCGGGTGAGGGCGGGGGGAGGCGGCTGAGGGCGGGGGGAGGCGGGTGAGGGCGGGGGGAGGCGGCTGAGGGCGGGGGGAGGCGGGTGAGGGCGGGGGGAGGCGGGTGAGGGCGGGGGGAGGCGGCTGAGGGCGGGGGGAGGCGGGTGAGGGCGGGGGGAGGCGGGTGAGGGCGGGGGGAGGCGGCTGAGGGCGGGGGGAGGCGGGTGAGGGCGGGGGGAGGCGGCTGAGGGCGGGGGGAGGCGGGTGAGGGCGGGGGGAGGCAGGTGAGGGCGGGGGGAGGCGGGTGAGGGCGGGGGGAGGCGGCTGAGGGCGGGGGGAGGCGGGTGAGGGGCGGGGGGAGGCGGCTGAGGGCGGGGGGAGGCGGGGTGAGGGCGGGGGGAGGCGGGTGAGGGCGGGGGGAGGCGGGTGAGGGCGGGGGGAGGCGGCTGAGGGCGGGGGGAGGCGGCTGAGGGCGGGGGGAGGCGGCTGAGGGCGGGGGGAGGCGGGTGAGGGCGGGGGGGGGAGGCAGGTGAGGGCGGGGGGAGGCGGGTGAGGGCGGGGGGAGGCGGCTGAGGGCGGGGGGAGGCGGGTGAGGGGCGGGGGGAGGCGGCTGAGGGCGGGGGGAGGCGGGTGAGGGCGGGGGGAGGCGGGTGAGGGCGGGGGGAGGCGGCTGAGGGCGGGGGGAGGCGGGTGAGGGCGGGGGGAGGCGGGTGAGGGCGGGGGGAGGCGGGTGAGGGCGGGGGGAGGCGGGTGAGGGCGGGGGGAGGCGGGTGAGGGCGGGGGGAGGCGGGTGGAGGGCGGGGGGAGGCGGGTGAGGGCGGGGGGAGGCGGCTGAGGGCGGGGGGAGGCGGGTGAGGGCGGGGGGAGGCGGGTGAGGGCGGGGGGAGGCGGGGTGAGGGCGGGGGGAGGCGGGCTCACAGGCAGAGGAGCAGACTCTGGATCAGCTCGTTTGAGTCGAGGTGACGTCACCTCTATACAAGAGATGGCTCTAATCTCACAAGCTTTGATTGTTGTGTATCACACACATTAATATCACACATGTGCAGAGGACTATACAATACAATACAATACAATACAATTTATTCTTGTATAGCCCTAGGTCACAACAGAAGTCATCTCAGAGGACTTAACAAAACCATTGAAATCACCAA